ACCTCCTCGTTAGGTATACGTGAATAATAGGCAGCCTTGATCCCCATGACCCGCCTGAGAAAACGATAGTACTGGCCATTCACTGTTTTGAGGTTTTGGTCTGTGAGGGATAATGAATCCAATCCATACAAGAGTGAGGGCACTATGGTCGAATGAAATATGTAGAGCTTGCGTCTCCGTAGCATATTGGAATTCCAAACTAATCTTAACTTCTTGAAATCGGCCTCCGCTAGGGCCAGTCTGTGATAGAAAGCTTCGTGGAAAGGTCTGTCCCACGAGACCATTGCCCCTAGATACTTAGCCTTGGGAGTCTTAGGGACCTTTTCTCCCGAGCGGAAGAATAGATCCCCTTGTGTTCCAGGTTTGGCCAGGTGTTCAGTTTTGGTTTCATTCAAGGACATGCCATATCTGAAGGCTTCCCCCTCCAATGTTGTCAAGAAGCTTTGCAGCTGCGGTGTGGTCAAAGAGATTAAAAGCGTATCATCAGCGTACTCAAGATCGTACGTGGGGTTGCCTACCGACCACGTGTTGGTTGGGACTCCTTTCTCGAGCAGTGCGTTATCTACGTCATGCATGATAACCGAAAGAACCATGATAAAGAGGTATGGGCTGAGTGGGCACCCCTGTCGTATGCCTGCTCCTACCTTACCTGTGCAGCTAGTGCCCTGCCAGGAGTGAACCTGGAAGATGGGCTTACTGTAGAAAGCTTCTATGAGGTGGAGGAAATTTTGGGAAACACCAAACCTACTTAGGGCTGTAAGCATGGCGGTGTGGTCGAGTGAATCAAAAGCCTGCCTCCAATCAAGAAATAGTAATTGTAAAGGTTTGTCCGTCATTTGTGACCACTCCATAGCTCTTCTGAGTATGAACAAAGGGTGGGACGTAGAACGGCCTGCCCTAAACCCGTACTGGGTGTTGCGGAGCTTCGGCTCTGAGGCCTTTGCAAGTCGAGTCTGGATCAGGGAGGCGAGAATTTTATAGCTAGCGTTTAGAAGCGAGATTGGTCGATAGTTACTGACATCTGTGTCACTGCCCTTCCCCTTGAAAATGCTTACAACCGTAGCTAAGTACCAGTCCTCTGGGATTTGCGGTGTGGTCAAGATGTCATTGTAGAGCTGTAATAGATTGAGCTCCCCTTCTGTGTCCAATAGCCCATACAGCTCATTGGTGATTCCATCTGGCCCTGGGGCCTTGTTCTTTTTGAGTTTGGTGAGGGCTGTCTGAAGCTCAGCGATTGTGAAAAATGGTTCATCCGGAGATTGCTCAAATAAGTTTGGTCCCATGTCACGCGCTGCTTCCCTTAGTTGCGGTGTGGTCAACCTAGAGGCCCATTGATTATTTTGCAAGTGATCCCTGAAAACTTCATGCGATCTAGACCATGGAATCGGCTTGCCGTCTACCACTAGGTGTGATCTCTTGCCCACAAACCTCCGCTTTTGCTGCTTGGTCATGCGCCAAACGTCCTTAGTGATCCCCCCTGGATCCTGTACCAACCGATCGTGTATCCAGTTGATACGGTCTTTGCGCGCGAGGCGTTTTGCTTTGTTTCGTAGCGACTTTGCGTGCGGTGTGGCCTCCGCCTCTGCCGCGCGAGCTTCCTGAAGCGCGGCTAGCGTCGCATCTGTTATCCAGGGTTTCTTCGGGTGCCTGGTTTGGAACTTGAAGGTCTCCTGGGCCGCAGCCTGAAGTGCTTCAGTAAAGGATGCGTGCGGGCAACCACTTCTAGTTTGCGGTGTGGTCCTTGGGGGCGTGTTATGTATAGATAGATAGATAGATAGATAGATAGATAGCTAGATAGTGAGTGTATTATATATATATACATACATATACACATATATATATATAATATGTATGTATATTTGTGATGATAAATATGTGTATACATAAAAACGAATATAGGCATATATACATATTATATATATATATATGTGAGTACAAGTGTATGTATGTATGTATGTATGTATGTACATATACATCTACATAAACATACATATGTGTGTGAATACGTACACATACATATACACATACATATACCTTTACATATAAATACACATATATATATGTATATATAACATGTATATATAATATGTATGTATAATATGTATGTATAATATGTATATATAATATGTATATATAGTATGTAAATATAATATGTATATATAGTATGTATATATAATATGTATATATAGTATGTATATAAATAACATGTAGTTATGTATATATATATATGCATGTATATATGGTGTATACAACACACATTCTATCATACAAAATAACCATATGATACAATATAACATGATCTCATAGAGTATATTACAAAAATATACTGTAATATGATATAATATAATATAATGTCATATCATATAACATCATTTAGGCTAGTATAATTTAATTGAACAAACACAGAATAGACTAGAATGAAATGAACAACTACAACAGTATAACAAAACATATAAAGCAACACTATACAATATACGAAAGGGCAATACATTCTGAGATAGTACATAACTTACGCATTGTATTTATATACATATATATATGTGTATATGTCTATACCTATAAGCTATAAAACAAAACAGAATATGCTACAATCTAACATAGGTACTATGATAAATAGACATACAGCAAAACATCACAACACATGTATACTATCTACGTATTATATATATATTACTATATTCTATGATGTTTTATGATATGATATTCTATATATGTGTATATACAATATACAAAACAGTTATATATTCTGGTCCATTCTATTCATTTCTATTCTATCATGTGATATTGCGTTTAGCGTTTTATGTTGCCTTACATTGTATTACATTACATTCTATTAAATGACACTGTTTATAATTTTATTATATTGTGTCAGGTTGTATTGTATCATATTGTGTTGTAATGACACTGCATTGTCGGTACAGATATATATATATATATGATGTCTAAATGTACATATGTATATGCACATTTACGTATGTGTAGATTTGTATGCATATGTGTCTTTGTGCAAAATTTGTGCTTATGCATTTATGTGCATATGTGTATATGCTTGTATATGTATCGTATACATGTGTAAACCTGTGTATATATGTGTACGTGTGTATGTATGTATGTATGTATGTATGAATGTATGTATGTATGTATGTATGTATGTATATACATATGTATGTATATAGACATATATACAGGTTTGTAAATATGTATACGTAGATATGTACACTTATTTAGGCAAACATGCATATCTGTCTGTAGGGCTATATGTCCAGATGTATAGAGGTACAAATGTGTAGATGCGTGTATGTATTGCATTATATACGTATATGTATATGTATGCACATGCATGTGCACCATAAAGCCAACAAAGACAAGCCTGGAACAACAACAGAAACGACGCAAAGCCAAGATGCCCGGAAAGCGCTCCTTTCCTCGGTGCGTGCGTGGCTGCGAGTGGCCGCCCAGGCGTGCCACCAGGGACCTCGTAGTACAATGGCTTTTGGGGCTTTGGGGTTTAGCTGGAACTAAGGTGCAGAACATGCGTTGGTTAAAGTTTGAAATTCTGGCCTCAGAGTTCAGGGCTTGTGGTTTTCGAGAGCTGACACATGTCAACACCTCTACTACTACTGCTACTACTACTACTACTACTCCTAGTAGTACTAGTAGTACTACTAGTACTACTACTACTACTACTACTACTACTACTGCTATGGCTACGACGACTGGAATGAATTCTTGGATACTGATAACGAGTATCATCACAGCAACAGAGAGCGGCGTCGAGGGGGGGGGGTTCAAGGTTTCGTCTTCCTGTGGTCTACACCCATGCCGGTGGCTCGAACCCGTACAGCTCCTCCAGACATCAGGAGCAGTAGACCCGAAACCTCAAAACCCGTCACCGAACAAAAATGCTACAGCAAGGCCCCTGCACATTTCAACCATCCACTAAGCCCTAAGCCCATGCAGATCGATGCTTCTCCCATGTTGCATCACAGCTGCCGGCAGCGGCGGAGTTCTATTCCACTCGCTTCCGAGGCTTGCAGAAGGTTTTGCACGGGGCCTCCTGGGTTCAAAGCTTCAAAGTTCCGGCTTTGCCTGGGCTTACAGGGATTTCTATGGCACCAAGCGGCCAGAAAGTGGAGGAACCAGGGCTCTTCCAGGCATCTTTGCCTTGCTTGCAAGGCCGAGCGCAGGAGCGCAAGGCTCTTTGTCGATGGGGATACGCATAGCATTGCCGACGTGAAGGAAGCCATCGAGATGCTGCAAAAAAAGGGTCTTGATGTGTGGACCACTGTCTATGCAGCTCCCAGAAGAGCGGAGAACAAGAACTGGGGAGAGTTTTTCAATCGAGCAGCTACCTCTTTCTGCCCCGTTCCGCGGAGGGAAGACCTGGGTGAAGCCAATGACGAACAAATGATGGCAGATTTGAGGCTCTTGGCATGCTCGACCGCCAGGAGGGCCAGAACTTCAAGCCTTGCCCTCGCATTGCTTACCTCCGACACTGACTTTTTGGAGACTGTTGCTTTTGCCACTGGCCTGGGCATCGACACGATGGTTCTCATCCCACAGAGGCATGTGAATACCGCAAATGCCTACAGAAGCAGAGGGTTTCAGGTGATGCCCATCCTACGACGGGAACTTTGCAGCCCGAAAGTGCGTGCCATACTGCATGGGGACGGAAGTGGCAGTGTGCGGATTGGCAGCCCATGTAGCTTCGGGGACTACGACACTGTGTTCTTCTTTAAGAAATCTACTGGTAACATACTTTATTTTTTTCTTTCAGTTGCCGTCTGCTCGAAGTGACGTTAAGTCAGAAGTGCTAGGGATCTACTATATGGCAAGCTGTGTTTTACGTAGTTACACCCTTGATGCCTTCCGTGTTTTTAGCGCCTCAAGTTCCGTGTCCTTGCCGAGAGCCCAGGAAGAAGAGGCCGAGGGCATCAGGCCCCTCCTGCAAGATCTGGGATACTGCCAGCCTTCCCTGGGTGACGCGGCTCTTCTCAAGGAGGCTTCTTTTACATTACTACAAGAAGGAAACCCTGCTATTTACCCTTTATGAAGTTCCTTCGCAAGAATTCAGGTGATCGGGATGCAAGGCCCTTCTTAGGCCATGCTGCCGCCAAGTTCTGGTATAACGAAGGCCTTGGCGATATCGAGGTCTTCCCAGCACCACTGGCCATAGCTGCTGGGTTCTTGTTAAGGAACTGAATAAAGAAGTTACCTAATTCGGATCTACAGCAAACAATGGAGCTTCCTCCCTAAACCCTAAACCCTAAATCCTCATTCTGGTAACTGAAGACAAACTCCTCAACGAGAGCCCAGGCTACTTTGCACCGGTTGGTCCAGAACCAGGGCGCCAAGGGCGTGAGGAGCGAAAAGTGGCAGCAGTATCGCGAGAACCTGGCGTTTGTCCTCCCCTGCGCTGCAAGAAGAGGTGGCTCGAAGGCCACGGCACTCCGAGTTTATGGGAGCCTGAGAGATCGTCAGGTTTACCAGGGGGGAGGACCCTTCATGCTGCGAAGCTCGGAGGATTTGGTGCCCCGGGTGCTGCAGAGGCTCGGGTATTTGGACCAGGAGCTGAATGGAAGCTTGGCAGAGGCCATCTTGGTTTTTGTGAACACGAACTACAACAAGGGCACCCTGAGGAAGATGAATCTTCTCCCCAAGGCTGGGTTCTTGTTAAAGGATTTTTATGTAAGTTGATCTATAGTAAATAATAATGGTTTCCTTATTATGGCAGCTGAAAACCTAAATCCCTTAACAACAGCCCAAGGTTTCGGATTCTGCCGACCTCGCAGCGAAGAAGTTGCAGGAGGCCTTCACGTCCACGGCGTCCCCCGGCATCTGGCAGGTCGTGCCCAGCGATCGATTCCTGCGACAGCTTCTGCAAAAGCGGGGGCTCCTGGACAACCTCGACGCCAACCCGGAGGAGCTTCTGAAAGCTATGCAAAGATATGCCGAAGAGGCCCAGCTGCCCAGAATGGAGTCCTACAACGGCTATGCCTTCCGGATCAAGCAGAGCTTGCAAGAGCTGAGCTCTGACCCCTCAAGAACAGGAGTCGTCGAGTTCGAGCTACACAAAAAGACGTGGGCACAGGAGAACCATAGCAGCTCTTCAGTCTCATAGAATTCAGCCGCTGTTCAAGTCTGACATGTAACATGTGCAGGGTGTTGTGGAATATAGCTCATTCTGTGGGGGATGGTACTTAGATCCTTCCATGATTGTTACTGCAGCGGAATCGCTTGCTCGGCCCAAGTCCCGAAGACACTTTGCCACGTTTCAGGATCCTCGAGGGTTTGCAGGTTTGAGGGGTTCAGTTTAGGGTTTAGAGGTTTGAGGGGTTCGGTCTAGGGTTCAAAGGTTTGAGGATTTCGGTTGAGGGTTTAAAGGTTTGAGGGGTTCGGTTGAGGGTTGAAAGGTTTGAGGGGTTCGGGCTATGATTTTAGGGTTTAAAGGTACCAAGTGATGACATGATGACATCCAGGTGGGCATGCCCAATGCAGGGAAGACTTCCCTGTTGGCCCCTCGGCTTCAATGGCATGCATTCTAGGAACCCCAGTGGTGCCCTTTTGCCCTTTTTGGTTTCTGGGTGCCTTTATACAATATACCAACAGAAAAAAAAGGGCACCCTTATTGTAATAGGGTTACTGGGCTACCAAGCATTTTAGACATTTCGCTTTGCCGATGGTTGCCTCACATTGCAGAGCCCATACACCCCAACCGCTAAACCCTTAAACACCAAACCCTAAACCCCTAAACCCTAACCGCTAACCCTTANNCCCCCCCCCCCCCCCCCCCCGTCACACTCCAAAAAACAAAAACCTACGCCGTAAATCCAGATTCAATCCTAAATCTCTACGCGTGCCTCTCAGGCTCTGGTGGCCACCCCTGAGATCCTGCTCGCTAAGAGACGACAGACCCTAAACCCTGCACAACATGCATCGAAAGTTTAAATTACACCGAAATTTCTGCAGGGGATTTTCAGGCTTCAAACGTGATTCCAGAAAGTTGGAGCATGGACTTAG